CGCTCTTCACTACCCTCTTCACTACCCTCTTCACTACCCTCTTCACTACCCTCTTCACTACGGACCACCCCCTCTCCCGCCCCTGCTCATCCCACCACTTCTATCCCTTCTCCACACCGTTCCCCGCATCTAATGCCTCCGCTTCTGACACCGCATCACCCCCTGCTCTTCCCCCTTAATTTCTGCCGCTCCTCTTCTCGCTTTTCTAACCGCTCCAACGTCTGTTCCCCTCCCCGCTTGTCTCCCCGCTCCTCACCCCGTCCCATCCGCCGCACCCCATTGCTTTCCGCCGCTTCCGCTCAAACCCTAGGCGAACTGTGGGGTCCCCCCTCCCCCCGTTGGCGGGCGCCACCCGTTTTACACCGTCGGAGGCGCGGTCTGATCCACCATGATTAGCCTCGTTAGATAAATATAGGACAAAAAAGCCGGCGCACTTAAATTTTAACCGCGCAAAAAGTCGCCCTAATTTTTCTGCCGCGCCCTCCGCGCCCGCGGCGGCGCCGACGCGAGGATAGGGGCGAGGGTGTGGGAGGGGGAAAGGCGCGGCCGGAAGGCGCCAATGGCTGCTGCAGAGGCGGGGGGGGGGCAGAAGCGACGANCGGACTGCGGAAGCTGTTCTGGCAGAAGGGTTGGGCTCTGGGCGAAAGGCTGGCGAAAACCCGGACAGTGAGGAGGAAAATGACAACAGGGGAATATCTGAGCGGGGAAATGTAAGAGGGAGCAGAAGTGAGTTCGTTTGGAGAATGTGCGCCACAATTAGTGAATTAGTCTGTGAATGTATGTGTGTGTATGGGGGGGGAGTGGGAGTGTGTTTGAGAAACACGGACTGGTTTTAACGCATAGCAGCTCACTCTGCAGTGGATCTGATCGGAAGATGCTAGGTTTCGAGTTGACAGAGGCTGGTTTTCAATAGGACGAATTCATCCTGTTTGTAAAAGAATTTTAATGGTCGACTGATCCGATCAATAGCTTTCCGTGGTCTCTCTGATAAATACCAGACAAATGACTGAGCGGTTCTCTTACGAACAGGCCATGGACCAATCTTTCCTGCAATCTTTCCTTCCTCTTCCTTGTCCTCTCAACTTACATACACCCACCTTTAAATGTATTACACTACCACAGATAGTTGGGCCCGACTGATCATTCGAGCACGACACGGAAAAAAGACTGATCAGTCAGGAGAGCAGCCGGGTCCGACCCGAAAATAAAAGAATAGATGCAGTATACCAGATCCATGATACTGTAACAAGTTCGCTTGTTACAGTATCATGGATCTGGTATACTGCAACCGTTCTTTTTTTGGAAACTTTAATCTTAAACCGGGTAAAGCGGGGCCTTGCGGGGGAAACACCTGGATAGGGCAGTACCTCGCAAGTCAACGTGTTGGCCATTGCCAGATCTCTTTTTCCGGCGGAAGAGGAACACCACCTGATACGAATCACCTCCTGATACGAGTATACAAATGTCGTCACAAACGAGACTAATGTCTGCAGCAGTTCACGTGCTAAGAAACAATTAATGATAAAGTGAGGGAGATAATACGGAAAGTAAACGAACGTCTTTGAGTTTTAGGAAATTTGGAAACACTATAAGTTATAAGGAAAAAAGTAAAATATGAAGAAGGGGAGATTATCAGAAGGAGGAAGGTAAAGATCGTTTTTATGAAAGAGAGTAAAAGTGAAGGTACACAAAATTAGCGTACGAATATAGAGAAAAGACCGTCTGTATATTAAAGAGTAGGAAGTAATAAAATTGACATCAATTCAATCAAGCAATATGTGACTGAACAGGTAGAATACTGAA